GGTATTAATTCTTGCTTATCTGGGTATTGGATGCAGGAGTATTCTAGTATTTTTGCTATGTTCTTAGCTTTTTTATTTTATCCTTTGAATGGCATATTCAAAAACAGGTGTATTACTATTATCCTTCTAATCTTTCCTATTACCCGCTCCTATTACTATGATTATCATTTTGTTGGTTGTATCTTATGAATTATTATTGTATCGTATGATTTATGATTTATCATTTTGTTGCTTGTATGTACACTGAGAGCTTATGCACCGAAGACAAATTCCTCATGTGTCCGATCACACTTGGCCAAATTCTGTTCTGTTCTGTTCCATTCCATTCCATTTTATTTAAATATTGTTTATCTTTATCTCAGGCCAGTAAACCACATTTACTATGATTATAACTACGCTGTTTCCCCCAAAATAAGACATCCCCTGATAATAAGCCCAGTCGGGCTTTTGAGCGCATGGCAATAAGGCTAAGCGCTTATTTCAGGGTTCAAAAAAATATAAGACAGGGTCTTATTTTCAGGGAAACACGGCAATTTCTGTGAGATTAATTTCAATGCCTATAAATTATATATCCTTGGAGTCACTGAAGCAGTCAGTGAGAGGTTAAATGGACTTCGGGAGATGGTACAGGACAGGAAGATCTGGAGGAACATTGTCCATCGGGTCGCAATGGGTCGGACACGACTTTGTGACTAACAACAACAACAAAGGTATATATGAAAATATTTTACCCAATACTTTATCTATTTACCCAAGATAAGCATATATTATTTATATGCTTAAAAGCCAGTTTAAAAGTAGTGGTTAAATCAGGTTTTGGGAAGGCAGTGAATAACCCATTCCCCTCATAATGTAATTTCTTTGGGTCAACTTAATTCTGCAGAAATTGGATTTAAAACTTTTGTAGAACGGACAAATTAGTTTAATTTAGCTCTGGCCTACATAGTCAGCTAAAGCACATCTTTATTTTATTTGGTTTATACACAAATGTTACTCTACCTCCATGTTAGAGAAATATTCTGGATGAATTATTTCTACTTCTTAAGCCATTCTTTCTGGGAAACTGAAGAAATTAATATTAGCTATTCATTTTATAACAAGCTTATCAGGACAAGTAGAAAATCAATAAACAACATGAAATCAGTTTCCTCTGACTTCAAAATGAGCTTAATACAATTAAAAGTTTATTTCATATATACTGGACACTTCAGAGTTTATTTAATAGGGTGGTGGTAATCACCCTGCTGTTAGAAATGTTATCCTGAAATTGGAACAGTGATTTATGCGATTTGGTCATTTCCTACTATTGTTGCATTGAGGGCTGAGATTAGTTGGATTATTGGTTTCTGATCCTAGATCAACTGCTTTGCATTAAGACTGCACATCTTCTTAGCTATAACCACAGTACATGCAATTTATCAACATAATCGACAATTGCAAACTTTCAGGCCGAGGATTGGATAAAACAATTATTATAGAAATCTGAAAATATAGCTTTGTACCTGATTGGCAGTATAGGTGTTGATATGTATTGTTTGTTAAGATTTGAATTTCTTTTTTCTTTTTTTTTTTTTTTACAAAGGGAGAAATGAATGACTTTCAAACAATGTGAATTTTTGCTGACTGAAATTCTCTTTGTTACAATTTCCAGGTCATCTCCTTTCTCCTTTCTTTTTTTTCCTCACTAGCTAAGCTTATTCATTTTATGGCTTGTTAATCGTTTAATGTTGCATTTCTACTCTTATTAGTTTTCATGATAAATTTACTATGCAAACTAATAAAATTTAAATACATAACTGTATTTAAATTTTATTAGTTTGCATAGTAAATTTATGTCCCATATCCTGCCTGTTCACTTTTTGATACCTTACTGGCAGCTCAAGTGCACTGATGAAGACATCAGCTCCAACAGAAGATGGTGACATTCAGTCTCTCTTCTAAGGACACTGCCTGTGATGGATTGGAAGAAAACACTTAGACGTGGCAACCAACCAAAATCATAGGACATCATCTTTAGAAGTAGGGAATTAAGGGAAAGTGGAGAAATTCTGCTACTCTAGTTCCATTTCCCACCAGTATCCACTTTATGCTTTTCCTAATGGTAAAGGTTAAAAAACATCCCATTATTTAACTCTAAAAAGATAAGACCTAAATATACAAAGTAATTTTTTATGAAATATTTCACAGGTTGAATGAAATAGAACAAATAATTATTAAGTATATAATTCCTTTTGCTTCTGGGGAAATAGCAAAAATAAAACATTCTTTTACCCACATTTATATCTGGTTCTTATATCTTCCTAGATTTTAAAAAACGATGTTATTTTAGTGAACTTTTAAAAAATAGTAACAATTCCAGATGTTAAGATGGAGAAAACAGAAGTCAGCACGGATGTTATTTCCCACCCCCACCCTCTTCAATTACTTCACAAACAGCTACATCAAATCATGAACACTGAAGAAAAACTTTTGTAGCCAAATAATATGTGCATAATTGTACAGTTGCGTAATTGGAAAGGTGGAATTTGAAGATATCTTGTGCCAGCAAGTAAAAAGAGAATAGGCAAAACAAGCAGTATTGCTGGAGCATTCCATTCCATGATATTGCAAATAGTGTTAATATTATCTAAAAATAGATAGCTGTTGTGTTGATCTTTTACAAGACTTCTCATTTTTTGAGAATAATAGAAGATCTTAATAGAAGATCTTAAAGGGAAATATCTAACATTCAAATCATTTTCTCCTATTATGAATAATATCCCTAGCATTGATACATATAGTAAGTTGGAAATGGTGGCCAAAGACTGTCAAGAGGTTGTACTGGTTACAAATCAAGTCAACAAGTATAGGTTTGTGCTTTGCTAATCAGATAATCCTCTTTTAATTCTAACATGTAAAGATATCCAATACTAAAGAATATATGTAGCTCCAGGAAGGAACCATTGAGTTCTTGGTGTTCTCAAAGCTTGGTTATTTTCCAGCCAAGCTTAGAGAATACCAAGAACCCAATACGTAAAGGTACGTGCATGGAATTTTCACTCAGATGTTACACACTAGGTACCAACAGTTTCACCTCACTGACCATTACTTAAATACAGATATGTCTCCAGAAGCAGGATACAGAACAGGATTTTCTTCCATTCAAGCATTCTCCATACATGTATCTTGAAGAGATCTAGGCAACATACCAGCATGGTACCATTAGCCAAACTTTCTACTATCCACACATAAGGCAGGCAGCTATATGAGGAAAGCTTTGCAGACTTCTACACTAAATGCTAACAGCATAGACTTCCTGCTATATAAATAAGATTGTAGATAGGTCAGCAAAAGTGACCCATTGCTTAATTCTCCATTAAAAAGATGTGCATGGGCATAGTCTCTTCCCTCTCCTCCCCAAAAAAGATTGTTCTGGTATTTCTGGTGTTTAAAATGGAATATTTCTCCTATTTTATTTTATTTTTTCAGCTTTCCAGCTATTTTTTTCAGTTTAATGCAGATGGTAAATCAGAACAGGTGCATGGTATTTAATTTTTGTTTTGTTTTGTTTTGTTTTATAGGAAAACTTGGACTAACAGAGATTCCCAAGTGAAACTTCTTACTATTATTCTGAAATTAACAGATTTTTCATTATGCGAAAGAAACTTTGTTCCGAGATAAATTATCTTCGAGATAAGTTATCTTCTCTGTATCCTTCCAAGTTTAGTCTATGTGCTGCTGAAGCCAGCGCTTCAAAGATAAATGATCAATATTACGAGCTGTGATGGTTTCAAGTAGGTGATAATTTATTTGCATGCTAGCAACAAGTACTAACTTTAAAGAAAGAACTGTGTGAATATTCAAGGGAACCAGATTCAAAATTCAGAGAAAGTGAATCGGAATATAAGGATTCAGTCCCTTGAGTTCTCAGGATTTCTGTTAATTCTCTCTCTTTCAGCCAGATATACAAATGAGTCATCAGCGGACTGTCTCCTATCCTAAAGACTAAAATCAATAGCAGATTTTTAACCGAAAGTCATGATGCAGCATTAGGATCAGATAGATCTGCTGGCTTTCTTGGTGTCACAATTCATACTTTACCAAACATAACAGAAAATTTCCCTTGATAGTAATAGTTTATTCAAAGCCCAGTCAACATTTTATTCATTTAGCCACGGATGGCAATTCTGGGATATATTTCAAGAACCCTTAATTTTTGTCAACTCTTAATAGGTGATTCAGAAAAACAGAGGTTCACGAGCAATTAAAGGAGGCAATCAAACAAACCAAAAAAGCAAACAACCCTGATTAACCAAATACAGGCAGAGGAGAACTATGCAAAACTTGCTCTGGGCTCTGCTTCTTCCTTTGATGGGCAGCTAGGATACTACGAAGTTGAATAACCTCCCTGATATATAGATTAACATTTAATTATTAAGTGCTATATTGATTTCTTTTTCAAACCTAATTCTAGCAAATCCATTAGTTTTAATTTTTAAGGGAGAACCTGACATAAATTCATGTATCATTTGAGGGATCAGAGTGCTACAAAACCTGAAATCTCCTGCTCCAATATATTCCTCCAAAATACTTCATCTATAACTTCCTTAAGCATCTATACATCTGAAGTGTTATGTGCTCAACAGAATATCCCCAAATGTAATTTTAACCCTAGTCATTGTTGTTCAATATATAATAATCCTGCATAAGATTATATGCTGGAATTGAACAGCACTAGAAAGTGTAGTTCAAACATTGAACAGCATCTTGAACAATCCTCCCTCAACTATTCACTCAAGTGTTTTGTTATTTGCTTTAGTGTTATAGTTACAACACATGACAGAAATAGCAAGAAGCACCATTAGAGGTAAGATACAAGTTGCATATTTCCATGTTATCACTGTGTATAGACACTGGATAAACTACTGTGTATTTTTGCTGCACCAAGTTTCCAGGATCCCGGGAGAGGCGGTCTCATGCATTTATCGGGCAGAACCTCGGTCCTTATCAACCTCACTTACCTTGGCATAGCAAAAGGAGATGAGCAGCAGAGGTAGCAAATAGCCAAAGATGAAGGTACACAAGACATACACTTTCTTGTGCTGGAGATTGGGCCAGACTTCCCAACAAAAGGTCTGGTTGAGGAATTTTTCATGGACAATGTGCTGGTGGTGAGCCACAGGAGAAGCCATGGCAATAGAGAGAAGCCAGATGACCCCTACCCCCAACAGCGCGTTACGGGACACCCGCACGGATGAGGAGCGCCGGGAATGCACAATGGCCACATAGCGGTCCACCGACATAGCCGACAGGGTAAATATGCTGACCAACATGGAGACGGTGAAGAAGTAGTGGATGAACTTGCAGATGAAGGTACCCAGAGACCAGTTGGGCAACATGTACACGGTAGACTGGAAAGGGATGCAGAAGAGTAAGTAAGCCAAGTCAGCGATGCTCAAGTTGAGCACAAAAATGTTGGTGGTGCTGCGGGGTTTGCCCGGCTTGCTCCTGGCCAGCACCGTGATGACCAGTGAATTGCCCATCACGCCCAGGGTGAAAATGAGGCCGAAGGCAATCAAGGTGATGAAATTCTCGACACCGATTTCAGAGAGGAAGCTGGCTTGCTCTTTCTCTGTGGACTGATGGAGGGGGGACCTGGAGGCATTGAAGTCCAGCCAGGGCGAGCCCCAGGTCTGATTCCGGTCGCTGGGCACGGCAGGGGCTTCCGCTGCCATGCTCTGCTCCGCCGTCTTGGGGCAGGGGAGCAAACTCTGAAGGCGACCGGTCCCGCGTGGCTCTCCCACCGAAATCCTCTCGGAAGGATGCCCGGGCGAAGCTCTCCGCTCTCCCTCGCTAACTCCGCGTGGAGACTCCAGAGGCTGAGCCCTGTTTCCTCTTCTCGCCCCCGCCCCTGCCTTGCTCCCCACGCCTACTAAGTAGCAGCTCCGAGGAGGGGAAGGGGAGGCACGAGCCGGCGCTGCTTCTGGCTTTTCAAAGAAAGCTCCGCGCGCACTCAAGGCTGTTGCTTCCCCACGACCCACGCTTCCCCGTCGTTTCAGTCCGTTCCCGCCCTGCTTTACTCCCTTAGCAATGGGGAACTTCCCACAACCTAGCCGGGCTGAGCTTGGAAAGACTTCTTTTTCTGCCCCCCCCCCCCCCCCCTGGGAACGACTGGCAGCCCTTGGACGCAGCCCGGGTCAGACTCCTGAGGTTCCCAAAGGCGACCCGCTTTGGGGTGCCTTCCTTTCCCTACTTTCCTGGCTCCCGGCAGCTGAACGCGGAGCTTAGCCGGGGCACTGATGCAGCGACTGTCCAGCGTGTGTTGGCTTGGCGTGTGGTGGCTGGCGCCCTCACTGCGTTTTTTTTTTTTTTCCCTCCTCGTTTCTCCCAATATCACGCTCCTCCCTCAGCTTGCTTGACGTAGGGTGAACTCTGGCAGCCAAATCAGGGCCAGGTCGGCTTCCCACGTTTCCTACACCCACGTTCAGTGAGTAAAACCCGGGTCTCTTACTATCTCCCCCCCACCCTCCTCCAGGAAACGCTGCCCTTTCCCCTGCCTGGAATCAGCACCATTCAAGAATCCGGTGGGATTGATGGGAAAGGGTCTATCTTGTCCCTTTTATGCTGTTCCTTTCCTTTTGCCACTTCATTTTGGAGGAGGGCAAACCTCAACCTGGCCAGGCATATAGTAAATTACACTACAGGATAATGTGACTCTGTCTGGATGTTTGTTATTATACTTCTAATATGCTTTTCTTCTCAAGGAGCCCAGAGCTGCATGTATGCTTTCCCTCCTATCATGTGCTGGGCACCCCAGTAAGGTAGGTTGGGTAGAGAGAGAGAGAGAGCAAAGCAAACTAAGAAGCATGAAAGCATCTCGTTTTTTGTTTTTTTATTTTAAAAAATCAGATTTGTAACTCTTTTTTCACCAACAAGCAAAGAAAACAGCCCCAGTTCAAAAAAATGCAACCAAAGGTCAGTTGTTAGCTCAAAACTAAGGGTGTTATTTTGGCTGAAAAGTTGGAATTATATCATTTTAGCATACAGAAACAAAACACATAAAGTTTGGCCGCATAAGGGTATCGTCTTTTTCATTTCTGCTTGGTTGCAATGTCAAAACAACAAAACCAAATAAAACAAAACTCTCTCCGCAATTGATCTCGCAGCCAAATAGGTAGAAAAAAGTTTGCTGTTCTGAAACCTTGTTATTGCTATTCTATTAATCTGATTTTATAGTATCAGTTGTATACTGCATTTTCCTTTCAGTCCATGCTCTGTATTGTAACCTATCTCAATTTGTGACTCTAAATCCTTTCATTAAAAGTAAATGCATTCTTAGATGATTCTCTTCAAGCAGCTTCATTCAGTTACTTACAAGAAATGTGAACATAAATAAAAATACCTTCATCTTTTGCACCCATGTTTTACTGCATAAAACTTTACTTTGTTTATTTTTATCAAGTGATTTAGTTTTTTGTAGTGAGTGTCCTTCTCCACTCAGAACACAGTGCCCTTGGATTTGTTTTCTCTCTTAAAAATGTCACCAAAGTTCCATTTTCTGTCCTCGATAGCCGGCACAAGACAATCTGTATCCATTAGCACTCTACACATTACTGTCATTTCACAACTGTTTGTTAAGTACTAGAATATAAAAAAAAAATCTATGTCTTTCATATATCAAAGACTAATCAGTATCAATATCAAATATTAACATGAGTCGGTACAATTCATTTCACCATTCTTGCCGGCTGCCCATGAATATGATTTAATTTATACAATAATATAGAATATAGCGTTAAACTCTAGACATGAATTGAGCCCGAAGATTCTACATAATAAATAATAAATAAGTAGAAAATATAAACTTTCTTTGAAGAATTTTTATTGGAATTTGTATTCTTGTCATCTATTCTTCTTCCTCAAAATCAGAGTATACTCTTCAATTGTGAATGGCATGTGAATTAAGTAAATTTGTGTGTGCGTGCATGTATCTATCTATAATCTATGTATGGAAATTATCACTAAAAATATTCCGCTATATATGGGATTGTATGACTGCTAATCTATTCCAATATTTTTAGCAAAATTGTGTTAAGTTCTATGTCTTTTGGACTTTGGATAAATAGATCGAAAGTACTTTACCTTTTTTTTTTTTTCTTCAATTATATGTAAAAGCCAAGTCCTTGGCTGTAGTCCTATGCATTCCCAAGTATTGTAGTTAGGATGTCTACATTTTCAGGGAAAGACCCATTTGTAAGGCAATTCATCAGGAGCATTTTTAAAGAAGCAATTGATCGCATCATCCTTACAAGAAGCAGTGGATGGAAACTAATCAAAGAGGGAATCAATCTAGAAATAAGGAGAAATTTCCTGACAGAACAATTAGTTAGTGGAACAGCTTCAGAAGTTGTAGGTGCTCCACAACTGGAGGTTTTTACGAAGAGATTGGACAACCACTTATCTGAAGGGTCTCCTGCTTGAGTAGAGGGTTGGACTAAAAGATATCCAAGGTCCCTTCCAACTCTGTTATTCTCTCTGGTAATGAAGAAAGGCATTCTAACTTCATAGTAAATGGCAGAATCATTAGAAGTTGGACAGCATACAAATTCAATAATATTTTATAAGACGACTTTGAGAGAAATCTTTAAAAAGGAAATATAGTCAAATAGAAAAAGGCTCCATTCTTTGGGTAATCTTCCCCAAATGACAGTCCTCACATACCGATACTGCTTGTTCCTTCCCAAACTCAAATTATCCAATAAATTCTAAAGTTTCTGCTGCTGTCACCTTCTTTACACACTGCAGGGCCTCACAAACAAGGCCTGTCCAACTAATTAAAAGCGAATCTGTGAATGCACATTAGTGAATTTGCATCTATATATAGTTACATACAGTCACCAAGAGCAATTATTTCCAGTGCAGAGAAGACCAATATTTGGAAGAACAGTTGGTCAGGAGCACCAGTAACTCCAAACATCACATATACTGTAAATAAAGCTATTCTGCCTTCCCATCTTCTGGTCTTATTCACACCATCTAGAAAATAATATGAGTAGTATATGGATACCATTCTAATCCAATTAAATTTGTTGGTTAAGTATCCTTCAGCACATGCACAGAGCCAGAAATATGATTGCTTTTAAAAGCCAATAACAACCAGAGCAAAAGTATTTGTAAAAGCTTGGAAGGTCCTTGTGATTCTTATTTTTTTAGTTATCTGAATATTTAGTTATCTGAAAATAGAAATAGATCCTGTTTCTGTTTATTTTAGAGTTTTAAAACAATTGATTGTAGATTTGATTTTTTTTTATTATGATGATTTTTTGTCAGTTCGTTGAATAATGTTTAGCTATGGATAAAAATCTAAGAATGCATTTCTTTTTATTATTTTCTTGTAAGGTTTTTTTTTTTAATCTTCATTTGTGGTTTTGTCTATTCTTTGTCAATTTAAGAAAGCTCTGAGCCTTTTGTTGCTTTTTTAATTTAAAATGGCTTCAGTATCGATCTTTGCACTAATGAAATTATACCTTATTTGTGCTAATGATGTTACATCTAATTGTCTAGTTTGCCTTCTGAACAATATATTGCCAATTTTACAGACAAATGTAAGCCTAACAGATTGCTTTTTAATGTGTGAATCGAGTTATTTGCCTCAGTTTCCTTCTTCTGCAGTAGGGTTTGTTAGGCTCAGTAGCTACATTAGAAAAAAAAAAGGGAGGTCCAAAGAGCCATGTCAATCATCCACCAACCAAGGCTTTTCTATGCAATCAATCATTCCTGTGCATTTAGAGGATTACTTTAAGTGGGTTGAGGCTTTTTTAATCCTTATTCACACTTTAAACATTAATATGGCAGACATTTTAACACTGAGCTTTATTTCAAAATCTGGACAAACTGACAGTCCAAGTACCCAACTTGGTCCAAGGAATGGTATAGCTAACAGTTGGGCTATGTTGGGGTGGCTATAATGGTTATAAGGCCATAGATTTGGTCCTTCCAATGCAAAAGCTAGTATGACATTAATCAACTTGTTGCTTTCGTAACGCAAAGCTTACTTGGTTTTGGGATCTTACAAAAGAGGTTGATAGTGAGATCTTGTTGGCTTCATCTATATTGATATTGAGTCCCTTAAGTCCAGATAATCACTCAAAATAACCCATTGAGTGATTGGGTTCCAACTGCCACTGTTTCCAAGTTCTGTAATATATATTCTTTAGGAAAAAAACTTAAACAATTATTGATTTGTTCAATTACTACAATTGTGCTGAGCTTTAATTGGTTACTTTGATGAAATATAAATGGAATGCCTCTGAGAAATAAAACCATTAGGACACACACACACACACACACACACACACACACACACACACACAATCTCTAAATAATTGACTAGCTGCATCTCATCTCTTTATTTCAACTGACCAAACGTGAGGCAATAGCTCATCACACACTCATACTTCAGGAAAAAATAAGCAAACCAATTCTCAACATTGATTAAGATTTACATATTAAAATTCTTTTACACAGGATTGTGGATCTGCATTATTCATGTATCATAACTGTGCATTAGTACATGCTATGCCTTATTTAGAGTACATTTTCTGCTATCAGGAGGATCCTTTCCTACTTTAGGTTTCTCAAAGATCTACCTACTTTCTTTGAGAGACTTGTTATCAATGAAGCATGGATCAACCACATCAAATCAGCAAGTACTGTATGTTTGAGTTTCAAAATCTAAAAATCAAAAACACTTCAGTTTGCTTCTCATGTCTGTCCTTCAGTTCTTCTCACTTCTCTCCTGATACTATGATTCTATATATACATTTAGCCAATAGTTGTCTCACCGAACTTAACCTTCAGCCTGACAGAATTCAGAAAATGTGACATTATTTCATGACATTTTAGCTAGTCCTAATAAAGAGAGTAATCTGTGGTGAATAAATTGACCTCTGAACATGAATAGAGCTGTAAGTATGTGTGTATCACTTCTATAAAAGCTGGTAGGATGTTTTTTAAATGATAGGGAAATACCTTTAAAATTTGTTCTCTTTTTTTGTTTCATAGAATATTCATACAAATGGTGAAGCATTGTAGCTGCATTTGCACTAATTTTTCAAGAAAAGGTGTCTCATTTCAAGATTCGCAATGGGATGAAATATGACAAGCATTATACAGTATACTGCTGTGAGGCTTTATTTAAAAAAGACACGCTGAAAAAAGGATTCATTCAAAGTGAAAATGTATATTATGCTAATAAGAGCAGGAAGGCTATGCAGAATCTTTCAGGATAAAGAGCTATTATTTTAGAATAAAAAGTAAAAAATAGATTTTGGGCATCCTTAAAAGTCAGACTTAAAAAAACACTGTTGAACATAGCCATTATCAGAATTTTTTTAAAAAAATTGCTCGCCATCAATCTTTATTTAAATAGAAATGCATGGATGGAGCAAACAAAGTTTGAACAAAAATGGCATCTGATGATGTTTTTCAAAGAAGGGATGCTTATAAATAATTCAAATGATATATATTTAATTGAGCAAAATAATTACTTGTAATAATATTCATAAAACTGTTGAGAGAAAGTAAGTATTCCATTTTAATTGAATTAATTGAATATTAATTAAAGTATATTGTTACAGTCATTCAGTAATATTAGGAGTAATTGTCTGTAAAAACCAAGTTTATTATTCATCCTTTTTTTCATATAAGACGTTCTTTTCATTTTATTTATCACTATCAAATGCTTTAAAATTTAACTCAGAGAATATGCTCTTCAACAGTTTTTCATCTGATTATCAATATTTACTCCAAAATAAACTCCACAGGAAACATTGGCATTTACATTCATAAAAGTATGCATGGAGTGCAAGTTTAATAATGTCCCTTGTATTTCTAACCTCTTTTATATTATAACAGCATCCTTTATAGCTGACAATATTGATGTGTCTTTGCTATATGGTATGGCAGAATTGCAGGTCTATCAATATTTTTCATATCAAAACACAGCAACATTCGAAGTTGGGCATTTATTTTCTTAACTAAACAATAACTCCTCACTCAATATTTCTATTTTTCTCTTATCCAAAAATATAGATTACTGAAGTTACTTCTTATCTACAGTATATGCAATGTATTTGCTTTTCAATAACATGCACTAAACAGCTGTGTTAATAAAAGGTTTCTTTTAGCTGACAAGTGGGTTTTTTTTAAGTGTGTGTGTGGAAGATCGTATTATATATATATGTATTTATTTTATTTTGTTTAAGCCATTAAAAGTCTGTTTGGATTGGGATGGGGCATAGATTTGATGAATGAATAAATATAAAGATGCTAATTATGGAGCTTTTGAAAGAATGGGCATACACTGAAGGTTTGGGTTGGGGGAGCAGTTCCAGTGGTGGGATTCAACCAGTTCGCACCACTTCGGGAGAACCGGTTGTTAACTTTCTGAGCAGTTTGGCAAACTGGTTGTTGAAAGAAATCATTAGGGCAGAGAACCAGTTGTTAAATTACTTGAATCCCACCACTGAGTGGTTCATGTGCATGATACTCAACATGCTATTGCTGTTGATTTAGATATTTAACATCAACATTGCTAAAACCTGATACTAAAACTTGAATAGTGCATATACATGTAGAAAACCTAATACAATCTTTCACAAAGCAAAAAGCATGCTCTAAATGAAGTTATTAATTAAGGGGAAACTAGTTTGGCAAACCCTAGCTATTTTAAAAAACTCTTTCCAAAATGCTGAAATAGGGACATTGATTAACAAAATTAAGTTTTTCTAATCAATTAGATTTTATTAGACCCATGGTGGTGCAGAGGTGAGAATGCAGTTCTGCAGGCTGACTGCCCACTGCCAGGAGTTCGATCTTGATCGGCTCGAGGTTGACTTAGCCTTCTATCCTTCCAAGGTTGGTAAAATGAGAACTCAGATTATTGGCGCATGTTCTAAACTGCTCAGAGAGTGCTGTAAAGCACTATGGAGTGATATATATGTCTAAGTGCTGTTGCTATTTTTCATTTAATGCAATTTATATGTAACGTCTTAGAAGTAGGCGGCATTATTTAATACTACCAACTCAAGATACAAGTAAACAGTAACAATAATGCTTTCTCTGTTCTTCCATTAGTCCTAGTGATCAAGGTCATTAGCCAACATCTAAAAGCTATCTAGTTACCTACTGCTAATAATAATAATATTGTAGCTATGTTGCACAGTTCAGTTGAATAGACAGAATAGCACATTTTCAGCTACATAAACAGTTATCAATTTTAATTTGTCAAGTGATTGATTCTGTACAAAATAAATTTCATTATTTTTAGCTATGAGCAGAACTCTTACTGTTAAACATAAAATGTAGAGTCAAACTGAATATTAAATTTTCATTCTTAGTTTGTAAACATTTAAATTGCTGTTAGAATAATGCAAATTGGGGGTCAAGATGATACCAAGGAAAGAAATGTCTTGATTAAAACCTTTCATTCCCAATCTTATCCTTGTTAGACCTGGTACACTTGTTTAAAATGTCCTAGTTTTATTAATTTAATGATTCATTAGTTGTACTCATGAAACTAGTATGTGATTTGGCACTTCAACTTTCCCAATGCTGTACTGGATTTTACTCATAATATTTCAATATTTGCAATGTAGGTAAGAAACTGACCAGTTGGGTATGTATGTATGTATGTATGTATGTATGTATGTATGTGTTTGTGTGTGTGTGTGTACATACACACACACACACACAGAGAGAGAGTTATAGATTTTCTCAAAGGTTTGTATATTCTCCTATATTAATAGAAGTTAAACCAAAACCCGTACTATATACTGTATTTGTATCTGAAATTTCATTAAATGTTGAACAGCCTTAGAAAATTTAGATAGGATGACAAACCATAATAAACATATTAATATGCTGCCCAGACAACTGGATGAAACGTTAAATTCCTGTGAATAACAAAATCACATAAAATATATATTTATGTTTTGTTTCCTCAAACATTTTGAGTATGTTATTCTTATTTGCCATAAAGGACAATATATTTTCTTCTTCAGTTTATCTCATGAGCCATAGAATAGCTTTATTCAAAAACCGAATATTAAGCTATATCAACATGTCTTAAATATCTTAATTCAAAAGATATCAGGAACTCATCCCCAGAGATATTTTTTTATTATTGTACTGTGTAACATTTTTAGCAAACAACATTATGCTAAATTTAAAAAATACGTAAGAAATATAAGCAAAATTAAAGCATACATTTTAAACAAGAAAAGAAGGGGAACCGAAAAGGAAAAATATTGAAAATAGTTTACATCAAATCTTTCAATATATCTCTCAAAATTAGATGTGATTGTCAGAGAGACAGAGAAAGATAACATGGGAACCACAAAGCTTTAATAATTTTGACAAAAGCCTTCAATATTTCTTTGCACCATACTTTTCCATTTTTGCTTCTACATGTCCATACACCATTTTAGGGTTTTTTCCCCCTTTAAACTTCTTACCTCTGTCTATTTGGGGATCTAATCATATCTATACAGCCATGACTTTCTCAATATTCTTCTTTCACTCAGTCTATTTATTATTCCCTCTCAGATCAGTTTACATTTTTATCATTGTCTATTTTCTCTATGTGACCAAATCACCTCAATTACTTTGTTCATACTGGTCATTCACTTTCACATTCAGTCTATGTTTATTCAACATCCATTCATGCTCGACTCTGTCTCTTCTAGTTTTACCGTATAGATGTCCAAAATACTCCATTCTTACTATATTTGGTGTAATTTTGTCTCTTATACCCAGTATTCATTTTCATATAACAATGCCTGCAAGAGCAAGCTCTTATGCACAGTAATTTTTGCTTCTTTAGGCAAACAATATTTTATTACATCAGACCACATAATTAGATGTTCCATAAGCCAATATTTTAATATTTATTGAATTATAACATCTATACCTTGCATACATATCATTATGTAAAAAAGAATTTTTTTAAAAAAATATTCCATTTGTATTTTAAATTCCCTTATTTGGCTCTCTTCACTTCTAATTTTTTATTATTATTATTATTTTTCTATCAAATCATCATTCTGCCATTTTTAATCCTAATAGTACCTTGATCTTTGATTACATACTTTGCAATGTTTTGGTTCTCTTAAATAGATATAATACAGTAACTGTATGTTTTATCTTCTGAGGTCAGTAAAATGAGGACCCAGATTGTTGGGGGCAGAATGCTGACATTGCAGTATGCTCAGAGAATACTGTAAAACACCTTGAAGCAATATATAAATCTAAGTGCTGTTGCTATTACTATTTTTGACTGTTATTGTCGTTTATAAGGTGTTTGGTTTTTTTACTAAAGGCTAAGCATCTGTAGATTTTGAGCATCCCAGAATCGGAAAACTTCCATTTTTAACACAGAATAGAAAACAGAATTTATGCACAATTTGGAGTTCTCCTAGAGCAATGGCCCCAAATCTTTTGGGTACCATGGACTGGTTCTGTGGAGAGAAGTTTTTCCAAGGACTGAAGGGGGTATGGTTTCACATGCTGCTTGTATCCCGCAGATAGGGCTGCACTGCACATATTTGTGCAGCCCGATTTCTGGCATGCCGCAGCCCAGTGCCAACCCACCAACCAGGAGTTGGGGACCCCTGTCCTAGAGTCAAGATTGAGGGACAAATGATTTGATCAAATCTGTTTTGTGTGCTAATTGCCCTTGTTTTTGGATCAGGAGATTCTACTCATGGTCACTTTGCCTTAATCTTTTTTAAAAAAAACTGTTTTAAATCACTGTATATGTGTTTCCCTTCAAGAATCTGAAGATTGCAAGTGATCCAGAACAACACAGCGAGGGCAGTCTTGTGTGTGTCAAGGCAAACAAGGTATATTTGGCTATCATATTGATGTATTATTCTTGCTGTATTCCTTTGTCATTGTTTATTTCATTGTTCTGTTACTTTACTTCTGTTTTGTTTATATTCCTTTCATTTTTCTTCCTTTTATATTTCTATAAGCCGCCTAATGTAACTCAGTAGTGGGTTGCCCCTGGTTCAGACCAGATCGCAAGAACCGGTAGTAAAACCGGCAGGAGGCTCCGCCCATCGACCCCAACATCATCATCATCATCAGGAAGCTTCTGCACATGTGAGTGCAACCCTGTTGCAAACTGGTAGTAAAGGTAAGTACAACCCACCCCTGGAGTAGCCCCACAGCAAGATAGATGGCAAATAACAAATAAATAAATACTATGAAACACCACTGGTAAATTTATTTATTTATTTATTTATTTATTTATTTATTTATTTATTTATTTATTTTCTATACCGCCCTTCTCCTGAAGGACTCAGGGCGGTGTACAGCCTAATTAAAAACACAAAGACAGACAATATTTAAAAATAATTAAAATTGTTACTGTACTTGTTTTTAATTGGTTGCATTACTGCCAATGTTATTTATTGTTAGCCACCCAGATATATTGTTTAACTAAGTAAATAAATTCCACCCAATCAGGACTCCTTTATTGAGATCTGTTATAGCCTTCTCTTTATCTTATTTTCACAGACACACAACACATATGTTTCTTTTCCCTTCCCCTTTTGTTTTATTTGCTAATTCATAGTCTTCATGCAATGATAAATTTATGCAAAATATAGAAGTTTTGATCATCATCCTATAATGCCTATTATGGCTTTGGACAATCTATGTTTTTATAAAGTCGTTTTTAGTAAGAGAGATAAGATAGAGACTAGATTACCAGCTTTAATTTCACTTTTGATATAGGAAGGATTCTCTGCTAATGGTAAATACTAGTTGCTTTTGGTGCATTAAAGCTACATTTCTCTCCTGCAGGTAACGACATATCAGATACAGTTGATAAAGGGCTATTCTTGCCACTGAGTCTGTGTAGCAGCCCAGCACGATGTTTCCAGGCTTCTAGAAAATGAATAAATCCTGAAATTTAGCCCTTGTATTTTTTGTACATGTATGTTTTTTGGTCACATTTAGCTGCTTAATGAGACAGTGACAATGACTGAGGAATTCACATCTTCAGCTTCTTGAAATAAAGCCAATATTTCTGACTGCATTTCGACTGCCAAGACAGTTCCAATTTTCATCACTTGCTACACTGTATTGGGGAAGGCAATAGCTCAAATCACATAGAATATTACACTAAAATTGGAGATCTTGTGAATAACTTGGTGTCTCTTATTTCTGTAAAAGTAGTTAGTGTTAGGGAATAAAATTAGTCATAAAAAGAATGTCCTTCTGTGGTGAAAATATTTGAAGTGGTCATCACAAAATACAGCCGATGAAAATCATTAAAAATAATGAAAGCAACCTAGGTGTATCCACTTATGTAGCAGTTCTTAAGGTGCTCTGTTTTAATAATTAACAATAACTGGGGCTACAGCTCAAGCAGATTATCAAATTGAGCAAAGTGGAATTGTTGCTGCCCATTGGATTTGGATTAATCTAGTACTTTCTCAGCGACAAATAATCAGAATAGAAGTCATGGGAGGTTAGATGTTCCCATCCATTTTGTTTGGAGGGTTTTGACATTATGATCCCAAGTTCTAAGAATATGGAGCAGTTATACAGTAAATGATGGGAAGGTGGCAGGATAAACACAGTGGATACATAGATACAGGGATCTGTTGACAGGGAACCAACGTATGTGACAAGCATGGTTAATACCTATTGTAATCCAGGCTGTGAGCTTCAATTCTGTAAATTACTTCCTTGTGAAATAAATTTCTTATGGAATAAAATACTTTTATATATAAGTTCAAGGCTCAGCTTTTTGTGACATTGTATTTACTAAATGTAGGAAGGTAACTATATTCTAAATGGTGACATACCAAAAGTAATTGTTATGATTCCTTATAAACATTTTATTTATTTAAACCTCTTTCAGGTCTCAAAATTCAGTCCTGAATTATAAAACCAAAAAAAAGTCTATCTTTTCATCGTGAGGTTTTGAAGTGTTATTCCCAGTAAGAACCCAAAATACAAGACTTAAGAAAGTCAAATAATCACTTAGTTTTCTGATAATTAGATACTGATTTTCCATTATGTTGGACAGAATGATGTCATCAATTCACCTGTCTTGTTAAAACTTTTCTTTTTCTACTTCTGTTGAAACAGAAAACATGCTATTTTACGTGTTTCATAAATTTATAAGAGGATTTGAAACAAGGCTTTCCTAATTAAAACTAGATAATAATACAATCTTGAACGGACTGATTTACACATATAGTATTGGGGGAAAAAACAAACTATAATACTTGTTTAAACCAGAGCTGGATCCCTAATGAAATATTGCATAATATTGTCGTGTTAATAATTGTCTTTAAAATATTTCTATTCAAAAATGGCTATTTAAAAATATTCTGGAGCTGACATACTTTGTCACTGGTTTTGAATTTTTTAATAGTTTATTCTCATCTTAGATATGGGCCTATTTATTCCTGGAGATAGACCTGTGTTTTTTTTTCCAGTGTAAATGATGGCATTGAAAAAAGAGTATAGTATGATTTGAGTCTGTGAATCTACTTTGAAAATCTGAAAAATGAGTCACCACGCTTCAGCAAGCATACCCAGACTCAAACTACACACATAAACTTTTAAATTACAGGAATTGCAATAGTAGGTACATCCTTTCAGCTGATTGCAATTATAGTTTGGTTTCCGATCTTATTCAGCTTCTGGAAATATCTGAGTACATGCTCAGTTGATGTGAAGGGACATTTGAAGGAACTGTAGTGAGCTCTTAAAAGGGTGCCGAATTTTTGATACTTCAAGCAGTGGGATTCGAGCAGGGGTGAAATCCAGCAGGTTCTGACAGGTTATGGAGAACCAGTAGCAGAAATTTTGAGTAGTTCGGAGAACCGGCAAATACTACGTCTGGCTGGCCCCAGAGTGGGGTGGGAATGGGAATTTTGCACTATCCTTCCCCTGGAATGGGATGGGAATGGAGATTTTGCAGTATCCTTCCCCTGCCACGCCCACCAAGCCACATCCACCAAGCCACACCATGCCCACCAAGCCACACCCACAGAACCAGTAGTAAAAAAATTTGGATTTCACCACTGGATTAGAGGCCCTTGAATAAAGTATGCTCTCAAAAGTTGGAACAACCCTAATGTGTATCCCTTAATAAAGACGATTAATATGTATACACATGATGTATATCTTCATTTTCCTCGAAGTGTACTCTTTGTTGATTGGCAACTTGAAGACCTGACTTTCCATATGCCTTTTATGGCCAATCCCCATATTTACAATCTTCACAAGTAAAATTGTTAAGTACAGTGATGGTTTTACTTAGCAACTTCATCGCTTAACATCTGATTTGCCAGTCCAATTATGGTTGCTAAATGAGGATTATGTATAAATTATATAAATGAATAATTGCTGCAAAAACTCCAAATTTAGCAATTTATTCCATAAAGCACACTGGACACTTTATGCAATATAAATGTATTTTGAGGAGTCAACAATAAAGCACATAATGTAACTATTTTACAAGGTTACCCAGAATTAAACACCATCTGACAAATTAACAGTCTACTATCTTAATATATTACAATGCATAGTTTGCATTAAGTAGTAATCCTGTATATATTTAGTTAGTAAATCATGTTAAACTTAACTAAGGCTACTACAGAATAGAGCTGGAATCACTAACACTCTATAAAATTTTTAGCTTGCATGTAATATTTTTCAAAATAAAAATAACCCCCAGTTATTACAACAATGGAGTTCCAATTCTCCCACTGTACTAGACTCTGCGTTTTTTAGGCTGGGGCTGCCATTTCCATGACATAGGTGAACTGCAGAGCAGAATGTCTTCTTTGAATCTGAAGGACTGCCATATCATTCAGTTTATTGCCTAAAAATATAAATCATGATTATTATTTTTTTAAGCCAGGTTTTGCATTGAAATTCACTTCCATGTAAATCAATGTTTTAGTGCAGGGATTAAATTAAATGAACATAGCCTTAGTGAAAATTGTAAGTTAATAATAATAAATTTATTTACGGTCACAGACCAAAATGCAAGCATAGCTACAGAAAAACATAGGGAAAAGAACATCACGAACAGCCGGCCACCGGAAGCCCCGGCTGAGAGGGACCACAGCGCTCTCCTCTAATGGTTACGGCTCTTAGAAAAAATTTTGAGACCTGAGAGGTAGTGTATGAGGAGCCATCCCCTAGACAATACAAGGCCAAATCACTATCATTGGGCCCACAGAAATCTGTCTCTAAGAGAGACATCAAATTAGTCCTGGCTACGTTGTACATGGGGCAGTGTAAAAGGACATGCTCCACAGTCTCAACCTCTGTTCTACCACAGGGACATAGCCGCTCGCCCCTCGGAAGCCTCTTGAATCGACCGTCCAGCAATGCTGAAGGCAAGACGTTAAAACGAGCAAGGGAGAAGACTCTTCTATACTTAGGGATGGTTAGAGTATAGAAATACTCTAAGTTAATTCTACCGGATATGAACTCCGAACTCCATTTTATTTTTAATTAATTTATACTATTTGAACTTCCTTGCTGAGATTGTGAGGGGATACCTATGCAATCGAAGTTAATTGCTAAGTAGAGAAAGTGTTCTCGTAAGGTAATACATGATTCATAAAATGGGGGGTGGGGAAATACCTTTATTTAAGTTTATGAATCTCAGAAATGCTTTATTTTATTTAATAAAAGAAGTGTTATAGTTCGGATTACCATGCTCTATTTTCCAAATTAGCATTCAAGACACTAACAGCAAAAGTTTAACCAATAACAAGTTAAGAGACTCTAGAACTTAGGGTGTAATGCTTCTTATTATACGTGCATTAAATAATGGAAACTAACAGACAAGGGATTGGTTTATGCTACTGGACCACTAAATGAAGAAGATCAGAATAAAATTATTAAGAGTTGGTATTACCTTGTAGATTGAGTGGATATATTTATCTGTGCATGGTTTAATTACAAGGAGATTGGAAATCAATGTTAATACTGCTGGTACTTATTATGTTTAAACTGCACCCAGGTACAACAAGATCCAAAGACACTCTGAACAAATGGGGCTATTCGGTGACCCTTTGCAATTGTGATGACATGCAGACAACAGCACATATGTATACTTGCCATTTGTGTCCTGATCAGTAGATATTTGAGGACCTCATGGCAGCACGATAGAAGGCAGTTAATGGGAGAGATCTGTTTAACTTCTACATATTTTAATCTGGTATTTTATATTTTAAATTTTATGTCATATAGTATGCCTTATTTTAGTTGTAATGTTTCTAACACAAATAAACAAACTTATTATATTGCATTGTCACTGCATTCATGATCTTCCGGCTGCAGCTGTCAAGTTGCCAAATGCTATATTGCGAATTTATGGCACGCATGCCACAGGTGGCACATGTAGCCATATTGGTGGGCACGCAAGCTCAGCTCTGCCGCCCATGTGCACGCTGGCCAGCTGATTTTCGGGCCTTCTGGTCCCACCAGAAGTAGGGAAACAGGCTGTTTTCTGCCTCCAGAGGGCTTCGGGGTGGTGGTGGGGAAGGCCCGTTTTTCTCTCTCCCCAGGCACCACAGCCTTTCTAGTTGGGACCTGAAGTTGGCAAACGGGCCATTTCTCACTTCCAGAGGGCCTCCGGGAGTGGTGGGGAAGGCCGTTTTTGCTCTCCCCAGACTCCTAGAAAGGCTCTGGAGCCTGGGGAGAGAGAAAAACGGGCCTACTGGGCCCACCAGACCATTGCGTGCCAGGAACGGGGGGAGCAGTAGGGGGTGTTATGTGTGCATGCACGGGGGTGGGACACATAGAATTAAGGGTGTGGGCACTTGCACACGCAACCCCCCCCCCCGCGCTCCCCTCGCTCCTGGCATGCAATGGCAAAAGGATTAGCCATCACTGCTGTATTGGTTTACTGCTTGAAGCTAAAACACTGCAGCAAACATTTAGTCTTTAGGTGAAGCAGAGGAATACTTGACTAGTTATCAATAAAGTTGCAATGTAACTTTATACATAAATACAGGTAGTCCTCGACTTATAACAGTGATGGTTTGAAGTTACAACGGCACCTAAAAAAGTGACTTATGACCACTTTTCACACTAATGACTGTTGCAGTAGCCCCATGGCCATGGGATCATAATTCAGATGTTTGACAAGTGACTCACATTTATGACGGTTGCAGTGTCTCAGAGTCATGTGATCCCCTTTTGTGACCTTCTGATCTGCAAACTCAGTGGGGAAACCAGGTTCCCTTAACAACCGTATTACTAATCTAACAACTGCAGTGATTCACTTAACAAATGTGACAAGAAAAGTTGTCAAATGAGGCAAAATTCACTTAACACGTTTCTCACTTAGCAACATAAATTTGGGGCTCAATTGTGGTTGTAAGTTGAGGACTACCTGTAGAATTTCATTGTTTACCTATTGCGGTTTTAACAAGAGGCCATTTTACATTTTAAATACTTCTGTGGGCAGAACATATACCAGCTATAAATTGATAAATAGATGCAATCCAAGCTTTGAACTCTTGTACATTCATGAATTCTTATTCACCCTATGACAAAAGGCTGTTGGTTTATACGTTTTTACCATAAGGAGATATTCTATTTTTGGGAAGTAAGGAAATCCTTTAAGAAAGCATACTTTATGTACATCATACTATGAGAATAGAATATTATTACTACCATTTTTAGTGTAACTTCTTTTTAGTTTTCAAAAGCTAAATACAGGTAGTCATCGACTTACAACAGTTCATTTAGTGACCATTCAAAGTTACAACAGCACAGAAAAAAATGACTTATGACCATTTTTCACACTTATGACCATTGCAACATCCCCATGGTCATGTGATCAAAATTCAGATGCTTGGCAACTGACTCATATTTATGACAGTTGCAATGTCCTAGCTTCATGTGATCAGCTTTTGTGACCTTCTGACACACAAAATCAACTGGGAATCCAGATTCACTTAACAACTATGTTACTAACTTAACAAATGCAATGATTCACTTAACAAATGTGGCAAGAAAAGTCATAAAATAGGGCAAACTTAACAAATGTTTCTAACCCTAAATAAGAAAATATAATGTTTTAATAGATTGTATATCCAAATTAAAGCTTTAGGTTTTAAAGCAGGGGTGAAATCCAGCAGGTTCTGACAGGTTCTGGAGAACCGGTAGCGGAAATTTTGAGTAGTTCGGAGAATCAGCAAATGCCACCTCTGGCTGGCCCCAGAGTAGGGTGGAAATTGAGATTTTGCAATATCCTTCCCTCAGAAGTGGGGAGGGAATGGGGATTTTGCAGTATCCTTCCCCTGGAGTGGGATGGGAATGGAGATTTTGCAGTATCCTTCCCCTGGAGTGGGGTGAGAATGGAGATTTTGCAGTATCCTTCCCCTACCATGCCCACCAAGTCACGCCCACCATTCCACACCATGCTCACCAAGCCATGTCCACAGAACCGGTAGTAAAAAAATTTGGATTTCACCACTGTTTTAAAGTATTACAATGGCAGGTTTTTTTTTATTCTTTTCATTTTCACATTAAAATGCATTTCTAATAATTAGGTGAATTAAAATATACTGTAGCTTAGGCATTATTAAATCATTCAGTAAGTCAGTCTCCTTCTTGTCTGAGAGACACTATAGCCAAAGCAAAATGTTTAGCATTTTTGTTTAATAAACAAAATTAATAGTGTTGAAATGGAACATACCAAATTAATATTATAAAACTTCAGTGAAATAACTACCAGGATGATTAGTAGTATACAAAAATATATTTGTTTTCACGGAGCTATTACGAGCAGCTCTTACGTCAATTTTCAGTCAAGCACAGAGCATTATGACAGGTGGTTTTGGAGAATGATTAAGAGAAGTGAACAGAGTGAAATAGAAGCTTTCCATTTCAGGAAAAAAAAATAATAAAGGGAAAATCAAAGTACAAAACAACTTCATGACTTCTTAAACATAGAAATACAGCCTTTTAGGCTTCCACTCTGAAAAGTAAGGACTAGAGGAAGTTAAGTGCCATAATCATATAGGACCTGTGCTGAGCATATGACATCTGAATCTTTATTATTCTTCCTCAACCATCCTATGCTGGGTTGTTTTATTCACTACGGGAAACACTACCAATTTGTTGTAAAACATACCTGCTCTTTGACACCATATGAATCGGAAAAACAACATAACCTTTGAAAGATTCTCCAGAAAACTGGAGAAAAGTAAAGGTCATTCCCTTTTTCAAAAAGGGAAATGAGGACTACTCAGAAAAAAAATCCAGGCAAAATGTTCAAACTGATCATCAAGCAGCATATTTGTGAGCGTATCATGTGAAGTTCTAGTACCGCTTTACAAAGCCTTAGGAAGACCACACTTGGAATACTGCATCCATTTCTAGTGCCCACAATACAAAAAAAGATGTTGAGACTCTGGAAAGAGTGCAGAAAAGAGCTGGAGACAAAAACATACAAAGAACAGTTAGACGAATTGGATAGGTCTAGTCTAATGAAAAGAAGGACTACGGGGAGACATGACGGCAATATTCCAATATTTGAGGGGCTCCTACTAAGACAAGGGAAGTCAAACTATTTTCCAAAGCACCAGTAAGTAAGACAATGATTGGAAACTAACCAAGGAGAGAAGCAACCTAGAACTAAGGAGAAATTTCCTAATGGTTAGAGCAATTAACCAATGGAATGGGTGTTCCATCACCAAAGGCTTTCAAAAAGAGATTGGACTACCATTGGTCTGAAATGATATAGGATCTTCTGCTTCAGCAGGGGGATGGACTAGAAGACCTGCCTTAAGTTGTTTTAGGTGAAAACCGTATACACATGCTTTCAATAAATACATACTGTTGAACTATTAA